CTTTCTTTAGTTTGTCCTGTTGGGAAGTCTGGACAGTAGTTCACCTCAGCTCTTTTAGGTTTCTTCACTTGATTTGGAGCTGTGCGTGGCTCACTCAGTCCACGCTTGAAGGAATTGACATTCAGTTCTGAACATCCAAGATTTCTTAATTTAGTACGATAGTTTGCCATTTTATATTTCAAACTTATCTTCCATCCATAGAATCCAGAAACAGAACCTTGCTCCCTTAAACATGGGTGTTTCTTCACTAGTGCTTCAGCAACTGCGTCAAATTCAGAACTTGAGGGATAAGCTTTATATTTAATGATTTGTGATGCCAAACTTTCAAGAATGTCAGACTTCATTCTTGGACTTGGACTGAAAAGGGTACCATTACTTTCAAAGTCACCATTTGCACGCTGGAGTTGGAGTTCTACATCATAGACAAACTCAGGCACTGGAAAGAAGTCAGGCCATGGCTCACACCTGAGGGACGATGATGACGATGATGACGATTCCGAAGATGAAAGGATGTCTGTGTCCACAGATGAAGTCGACTCATCTAGAATGGATGTCTGCGGATAGAGGCATAAGCTGCTTGTAGATAAACCACCGGGGTAGTATACTACTTTAAGTGTAGCCTTGTTTTGAATGTCGGAGGTAGATGCTAGGTTTATGAAGTCATCAAAATCTGTGTCCTTGTACTGTAGTCTGAATTCTCCCAACACCCCACACTGTCTCTTAATCTCATTTTTTAGTTCCTCAACAGAGTCTGGTATTCCCAAAGGCAAGATAACTTTAGCAGAGTCATTTTCTCCAAGGATGATGAGAAGAACTGCTGAGGTCTCCATACTGGTCAACTGGTTATTCTAAAAAAAACAAAAAACAAAAAAAATATATAATAATTATACAAGGCAACCATAGTTAATACAGTTCTATTAAATCAAAAATAACAATTACACAGTCCACAGTGAGTGGAGAGAAATTCAGTATAACTGCAGCACAGTGTTTGAAAGAAAATGAAGTGTAAAAGTTTCTTAAACTCACTTAGAAAACAAATTTAAGAGTTGTTTTTGTTTCATATGAAATAGTACCTGTTGGTGTAAAATCAATTAAGCAAGGTACCTATTCCACTCGCATTCTAAAAAAGATTCAGTCATGTAACACAATGAAAATAATTACCAAATGTGTGTATGTATCTTTTAAGGGTAACCATTCGGAGTGTTCCACACTTGTAGTCAACCAGGGGATAGTTGTCAGTCAGTTCATTTAAGTCAGCCAAAACAACATCTCTCAATGGTGATGATTGGAGTTCAAAAGACCTGTAGTGTTCTCTGTACCGTGAAGCTAATCTTTTGCAAATGAAGATCAATGTGTTGTCCAA